CTTTCATGACAGGCACATGCTGGTCAGTACCCCTTTTCTTGAGAGGTACGTGCAGCCTTAGACCCAGGAGGAATTACATAGTTGGGGTTGGGCCCTGGGAACACTCTAGAAGATGTGGGGACACCGCACTAACTCTGCTGAGTCCTGTCTCAAAGATGAGGGGGGCAGGAGAGGTGGTCACTTGGACCAAAGGGATGATGGGGACCGAACAGTCTTACCCAGAGATGGTGCAGCTTGGACCAGGCCTGAGCTCTATCACCTCTACCCCGGCTGGGATCCCCATGGTTGACTAGGTCCCTGCCCTGACTTTGGCCTCTGCCCTGGTAGTGCTACCTCCCTGACCTTGGAGAACCCTGTGCCTGGTGCACGTGTACTGCAGCCTTGCCTGCTTGCAGGATGGATTAGGCAGTGTGCGAGGACGTGCCGGGCGGGCAGGCTCAGGGGTGGGGCAGGTGCCGGCACTGGAGCTGCCCTATGCTGGCTCGGGACTGGGCTGTGCCGAAGCCTTGTATGGCTCTGGCAGAGTAGCTCAGCGGCAGCACCCATTGGCTGGGCTGGCACTCCCAGCCGGCTTGCCTGGGCCCCAAACCACTGGTAACCAGAGCCGCAGGAGCTGGTGGATTAGCATGCCCTCCCACCTGCCTGCCCGCCTGCCACCAGGGCTGCTCTTTTCCTTTCCTAAAAAGGCAGAGCTGGGCAGGAGAGACGGGATATGGCACTCAGGCCTAGGGTAGTGGTGGGGTGGGTGGGGTGGTGCAGGTGGCTCTGGGGAGGACTCGAGGACCCTAGTCCTGGCCTTGGTCCAAGCTCTTCCCGACTTGGGACATCAGTTTTCTCAGCTGAAAAGGGGGCATTTGCAGGTGGATCTCCCTAAAGTGGATAAGGCTGGGATGAGATTGATGGATACGTGCAATGTGGTCCTCCAGCCCCGGCCCAGGTTGCAGGGCTGTGCAATAGCACAGAGGCCTAGGCCTTATTTCCATAGGAGGCTGCCATTTCCTCAGTGTGGGAACTCTGGCACCTACCATGATGACCTTGGGGAGTTGGGTCATCTCTCTGGGCCCAGGCTCCCTGCTCTGTAAAAAGGATGAGATGGAAAGTCCCCTTGTCCCGGGGTCTCCTGAGCAAAACCTGTGCCCCACTGAGCCCTATACAGAGAAGTACTCAGTGGCAGCCTCCTCAGGGCTTTGCCCCTCGGAGCTTCCTTCCTCTGCTTCTCACCACTTACTCCCACCCGCAGCTTGCCCGGCCTTCAGAGGCTGTCCTGCTTCAGTGACCTCTCTCCAGGAGAGAGCTTGTTCTCCAGGTTCAGAGGCCAGGGGTGAGGGCAGACTTCCCAGTCCAAATGGGGACACAGCAAACTTGGCCAAGGCCTCAGCAGCAGTAGACCATGCATGACCATTGCCTTTCTGAGACTTGGTCTGATCTGTTGGGCTTGTAGCCAACAGACGTGTAATCTGGTGTGATTGTGCTTCTATCCTTTATCTGCACAATGGGGCTGTGCATTCTGTCCAGTCCCACTCCCAAAGGGAAAGGGTTTCATGACCTCTAGAGAACCACTGCAGGAGGCCTGGTGGCCAGCACCATGTAGATGACCAGTAGGCTTTGGGCCAGTGGCAGATAGTGGTGAATAGGTGGCCGATCTTTTAAAGAATTTACACAGCCTCTTCATGATCTCAAATCCTATAATCCCAGTTCTGGTGTCTGCTGTCCAGGCTTCATGCCTGCAGCCTCAGGCCCAGCGACCCAACATGGCCCCAAGGTGGCACTGCTGATAGCCCGCAGCTGCTGAAGAGAACCCCAGCTGGATCCTGGGCAGTAGCAGCCGAGCCACCTAAGACCCAGCACTTTTCCTGGCTCCAGGATGGCTTGCCGGCACGAGGGAGGAATGCAGTTCCCTGGAGGGCTGCACCGGAGCCAGCTAAGTTCTAGTCTTCTTACTGCCACTAACTAGCTATGCACCTTCAGCTGTTGCCAAGTGGGAACAATGTTATAGTTTGGATTTAAAATGTCCCCCAGAAGTCTCATGTGTTCAGAGTTGGAGTTTTTGGAAGGTGATCAGATCACGGGACATTAACCTCATCAGTGGATTAATCCACAGGTGAGTTCATAGCTGAACGTGCTGTCAGGAGGGGGCACTAGTTGGGGAAGGTTTAGCTCTCCATCTGGCTCTTCCTTTACCCTCTGCTTCCTGGCTGCCATGGGCTGAGCAGCCTTCCTCTGCCATGCTGTTTCTGCCTTGGGTCCAGCCAACCATGAACGGAGCCCTCTGAAACCATAAGCAAAATAAGCCTCTCCTCCTTTACATTGCAGGTGCCAGGTATTCTGTCCCAGCAATGAAAAAGAGACAAATTCAACAGCAGTTCACCTTGCAGGATAGTTGTAATGAGTACAAGTGGGATTTGTAAAATGTTGGCAGCAGGGCCTGGTGGTATATGTGCTAGCTCTTCTGGGGCCATTTAGGGCACCACTTCCCTGCTGGCCTGAACTGAGATTTGGACATGTTCCCTGGCATCTGCTGCTTAATGGCCCTCATTCTTCTATATCCAACGGTTCTAACACTGGATACTGTCTTTGTTTCCCATGGCCTCCCCTGAATCCTGCTCCCCCATAAAAATCCAGCCTCTCTGAGGCTGACATCATCAGGCTCTACCTTCTTCCCATCCCATTGCTGACATTTGCTCAACCCTGGTCCAGTTCTCAGAAGTTCTAGCCTTGCAGGATCATTATTCAGGCTGTTTCCAAATATTCCCATCTCTGCCATTAGGCCCGACTTGCTTCAGCTCCCGAAGTGTGGATGGCAGGGACATCTATTGCCAGTGCAAGGCGCTGAGCATGCTTCTTTCCCCATCTCTGAGCTCACGGGGGCACAGGGACGGAGCTGCTGTCCTCTGGGTCTCTGAGTGACCAGGGTGAGTGCAATAGCCCTGCTGCTGCACACTGATGGGGAACTGGGGGCAACACCCTTGGCGGCCACAGTGTCTGCCGCACAGCAGAGCCCATCCTGATGGTACTCCCTGGCTCACGTCCCAGATCGCCTCCTGAGCCCTGCCACTGTCACAGAGAACCTGACGTGCCACCTGTGTGACTTGCGCAGTGCCCTGGACACTCATTTCCAGGCCTCTGCCCCTCTAGCAGTCTTCTCCCTGCTGAGCCCACCTCAGCCCTTGGGCAGTGGTCAGCAGTCTTCATCCACGACGGTCTTATGGGCTGTGTCTTCTCGTAGCCTGTCTTCTCTGCTCTCCCCACCCCTAAGCACCGCAAGACCCCAGGCCTTCCTCCTTGCCCGCCACGCCTGCCTGCCTCCTCGCTGCCCTGCAGAGGCAGCGCCTATAACCTCGCCTCCTCCCTTGCCCAAATCCTCTCCTCCAACCCCACTGCTCACTGGATGAATCTACCACTGCCGAGCAGGTGTGGCCAGGATGTCACACGGGACACCCGTCTTGTTCCCTGCTGGGTTTGTCTTGATCTCCTGAACACTTGCTCACACCTTCCCAGTCTCTTCAGTCTACCCTGCGACTTCCTCAGGTGACATTACTGCGAGAAAGTCACCCTTCGGTGCACCGGGGCTTCCTGTTGCCAGAGAGGTGCTGACTTCTCTGCTCCTCTTTCTTCTGCAGCCACGGCTGATGGCGGGGGAGGGTTGGCCTCTCCCTTTTTGACTCATCACCTCCTCCTGATTACCCTGAGCCCTGGACCCCACGCTCCTCCAGCTATAGCCAGTGCCCCTGCCCGGGAAGGTGTCCCCCTTCCCACCTGAGGCTCACTCTTCAGCCACCATCCCCTGCCTCTGCCATTCATCCTACACTGATCAGCATCTGTGAGAGGCCCCAGCAGCTTGGACTAGGACTGGCAAGGGCCAGCTTCCCCAGGTCTGCATGGGGCTTCTCACTGCCCAAATAGAACCTCGTGGGTCCTTAGAGGTGCACTTCCGGGCAGCTTTTCACCCCTTTAGACTGTCCCCTGTGCTCCTTCTCATGGCTTCTCTTCCCGTGTTGGCCCACGGGGCTGTTCCAAGCAGTTTCTCTGGTAGCCCAGACTCCCTCTGGTCTACAGTGCTTGCCTCTTCCGCAGTGGCTGCAGTGACACCCCAGGATGGAGCGATGGCGGACAGCCTGCGCTAGAACTAGATCACTTGGAGGTTGGGCTGTGTCTGTCTTGCTCATTGCTGCTGCAGGTGACTACACTCACTGCTGCTCAGCAAAGAGTTGAATACGAAAGGTGGAGCCCACATCTCCTGGGCCTTAGCCCCCTGGTGACCTGCTCAGAATCCATGTTAGCTTTGCTAGATATACCATCTCATTTAATCCTCACACCTATCCTTAGAGACCTAGAGACACAGAGGTTAGGAAACAGACACTGAGCAGTTAGAGGACTTGCCTAAGGTCATACAGGCAGTTAAGTGGCCACGCCAGAATCTGAATTCGTGTCTCATCCTGTAGTCAGTTGAATGGCGGCCTCCAAAAGTCATATCATAATGCCCAGAAGCTGTGGATGTGATCTTGTTTGGAACCAAGGCCTCTGAAGATGTAATTAAGGATCTTGAGATGAGGGCCCCGAGTTAGGGTCAGCCCTCAACTCAGCGACCAGTGCACCGAGAGGAGAAGCAGGAGAGACACAGAAGTAGAAGATGGAGGCAGATATGGGAGTGGTGAATCTAAAACCCAGGCAGGCCAAGGCTTGTGGCAGCCACCAGAAGTGAGGACAGAGGCAGGGAATGGGTCCGCCACAGCCTCAAAGACGGAGGTCGAAAGCCTGCAGCTGTGGTAATTTGATGCAGCCACCACAATGAATACAGGCCCTGATCACATGACTATACCTGGGGTTTCCCTGACAGACCTGGAAGTGCAGGCCACAAGAGTCCTGGGCTGTGTGACTGAGAGCTAGTCACTTCCCTTCTCTGGGCTCAGTTGCTCTGTAATAAAATACGCAACTAAGTGTACCCTCAATTCTGATATTCTACCGCCCTCAAGAAACACCATGATTCAGGCACACAGAGCTATGTTGGGACTTTCAAATTTATTCCAACATGCTATTTTTTTTTAAAAAATATCTTCAGGCTGACCACTCAGCCAGAGCTGTAATAAAGGCAATTATTATACTTGTAAAAACTTCATTCACAGTACAGATGTAATTTACAACGAAGATCACACACATCAATACTGAGCAAATTTTTCCTTTTGTACATCAGACTCTGTGCTTTAGACCTGCATGGATTTTTTTGTTGAACTTTTTTTCTTTTGCACTGATATATACCAACATTGCAAGATGCAAGTGTAGAAACTGGAGTTTAAATAAAATTACGAGCAAAACTACCCCATCCCAGTACGACTGCTGTACATATCTACAGTACAAGTTTTGGAATGTATTGCCATTTAAGAACATAGAAACTTTCTACAGACAATTTCACGTACAGAATACATACACCTTTTAGGAAAGAAAGGCAAATATTTATCTTACAGAGAGAGTATATCTTACATTTGCCTACATACACATTTTCATTTTCTCTGTGTCTTTGCTTTAACACTAGATTTAGTAAAGTGATCGTAAGTGCCGACACGGTTTTCTAATGGGAAGCAGACCGGAATCACAATGCGGAAGCAGAGTTTGTGGCACAGGCCTTCGGGAACTTTCTCTCCCTGGTGACATGGAAGATCAGCCTCCTAGGATGGCTGCTCAGCCAGGACTTTTGCTTGAAGAAAGATTCACCTGGAGCAAGGACTAGAGAGGAGCTCAGCTCAGATATATTGCTTATTCCTACTTCAAAGGACTGGCTGGGAATGGAGCAGCGCCCCGAGATAACTTGTAGGCCAACCATTTGGACTGTTTGAATAGACGTCTGAGTGTGGGAGGGCGAGCAGCTTGCTGTTGTCAGGAGGACCTCAGTGGCTGGGACCAGAGTGTGAGCCATGAGTGGATACAGGGGACACAGGCCTACCCTCTGAGGGGAAGGGGGCTGTTAACCCGAGAATCTCCGTGGGATTGCCCAGGCTAAAGGGCATCGTGGAAGGCGGGCCTGGGAGACAACGGGCTTGGAACCCAGCAGAAGGCAAGGTTTAGCTTGAAACTTTGGCAAACTGCTTCCTCCCCACCTGCCAATACCCAAGGAACAGAGCTAGTCTGAACAGAGCTAGTCTGAAAGGGTGGCCATCCACACACCTCAACAGCTTGGCACGGGGGTCTGCACTAGCTGATCATCACTGCTGCCCCCTTCCTGGGGTGGAGTCCATGGCCTCACAGGCAGACTGCAAATTCAGAGTAGCTAGGACCAGCCTGGGGGCCCCGGGCAGGGCACACATAGGGTGAGAACATTTTTCCAAATCAGGAAAGTGTGCACGTGGACAGGGGCCCCATACCCTGGGGAATGAGCCCAGAATCTGAAGAGGGGATTAAAGCTGGACCTGACAGTCCCTTTGGGCACCTGTGTGGGGTAGCAGCCCTTTGGCCCCCCAGGGACTGTGGGGACTCTCCCCGGCTGGCTGTACTGTTCATGGTGAAGCTGCCCAGGAAGGGGACCTTAGTGAGTGGGCTGTTTGAGTGATGGCCTGGAGAGCTGGGAGCGCAGGGCGGGTGGAGGGGTGTGGCCACCCCCAAGTCAGGAGCTAGTCCAGCAGCCTGGGGCTGGAAGATCTTGCCCAGGAAGGCTGGAAGCCCAGGGAGGGCTGAGGCAGTGCTCTTTAGGTAGCTCCCAGGCCTCAGCCCTCAAATCGGAGAGCATGTGGGTTAGGGCTGAGAAGCAAGGGGCAAAGAACCCTGGCTTCTGGCCTAAGCTGAGACTGGGGGCTGGGCTCCTACCCACTTCCCGCCAACCCCAAACAGGGCCAGTGTGGTGCAAGGTGGGCTGGCTGGCTTCTCCTAGTACAGGCAACAGTCCTATACTGAGTCAAGCAGCCAGAAGCTACTGGTTCATCCTACTCCTCAGTACCTTGGCGTCCAGTGGACCTCGAGGGAAGTCCTGCCCCAGTGTCCCCTTTTGTCTTAGCTCTGAGAAAGCAAAGGAGAACAAACAAGGTGGTCTGGCTGGAGGCTGGACTGTGGGTGATTTATTACTGCAGCAGGGGCCATGCAGGGAATGGCCCTGACCTGGAGGGAGGGGAAAGGACCGTCAAGCACAAGCTGCTCACAAGTGACTCATCCTCCCTACCTTACTGTGTCAACAGCCTGGGAGCTGAGGAGGAGCCCTCCACTCACACGGCCTGGCTAGGGCCTGGGGACCAAGCGGATAGGTGCCTCTTCTGTGGAAGGTGGCATCAGTACCCCTCCTGCTGCCTCCTCCCCCTTTTGGAAAATAAACCATTCTGGAAGGTTGGGAAGAACTCCTCTCTCCCAGGTGGAAATCAGAACCATAGGCAACTGCACGTAGGCATGCTTGCTTTTCCATTTAATTACATGGGGTAAACATGCTAGAGGTCCAGTTCCATATTTGGATTTAAGTTTCTGGTCACATTATTTTTCTTACAAAGCAGGTTTTTGCCCTAGGAAAGGGAGAGAAATTCAAAAAACTTGGGACAATTTACAAATCGTTCAGGTGGAGAGAAGAGAATCTGAGGAGGCTAGGGAAAGTACTTAACACCATCCTCTCATTCTAGATTTAGAGATATAATTTGTTGTTAAAGAGATGTAAGTCAACAAACAGGCCCAAGCAGGTTCCACCAGTCACGATCTGGGGTGTTTCGTGGGGCAGTGGAGACCTGACTTTGGGGCGCAGGGGTGGGGAACCGAGTCTCTGGAGATGGGTCCACTGAGCCTCCAGGGCTGAGCACTGGAAAAGCCCAGCCACGAAAGAAGGAAGGCCCCTCGGACCACAGGGATCACGAAGCAGAACCCAAGGCCAGGCACGGGAACAGCTCCATCACCCTGTGGGTAGTTCTAAGAATAGCGGAGACTGCCAGGAGAGCCAGCCAGGAGGACCTGGCCGAGGTCTGGAGCAGGAGATGGACACAGGTCTCCTTTCCTGGCGCAGGAGGGCATCGAGGGACAGGAGGGAGGCTACGGCTGGTGTGGTTTATCCACCTGTGCAGTGCAACAATGGGCCCCAAACTCAGACTGCCTGGGCATCTGGGAGCCCTGGAGACCAACGCCCCACTTCTGCCTTCCACTTGCTCCTATTATTTTGTGTTGAAATCCTACCAAAGTTGCTTTAAAAATTTTTCTTTCTTGCAAAGAATAAAAGAAAAAAGGAGATGATTTTGGGGGCCTCTCTGCCTGTATTTGTGTCCCTCTGCCTCAGGCCACAGGCCCTTCTGCTGGCAGAGAGGAGTGGTCACTCACTGGGGTGGGATAAAGCAGTAATAACCGGAACCGTTAACATCTGTACACAGGAGTGCTTGCTTCTACATTTAATGCTGTTTTGTGACATCTCTGTTGTTCTTCTCCCTCAGAGCATCTCCATTTCCGCAGCAAACGGCTGTCTGGCCTTGGGGCTGGCACAGCTGCCAAGTGCCTGCTGCGGCGGAGGTTAGGAGGCCCCCATTGTACAGCCTTTCCCCCAAAGCACAAACTATTCGCAGCCCCCAGCTCCTCGCGGATTTTGTTGTTATGTATGTGTGTGATTATTTCTTCTCTTTTCAAGCAACAAAAGGTACAGAAAAAGGCACAGGTACTGCATCCATGGGAAGCTAGAACAGATGGGCTGAGCAGAAGCTGCGTGGACAGATGGACGATAGGAAAGGGAGCCCGCGGGAGCAAGGTGACTCGAGGATGTTGGCCAGAAACGTCTGCTGCTGAACACTGGAAGCCAGATGCTGAGTCGGTTGGAGAGAGACTAAGTGCTCACGGGGTCCCTGTCCTTGGGCTGGGGTGGAGATGCCCTGGGCGCCCCACTACCTGAGGGCTCGGGGGAGCCCTGCCTGGTCCTGGGTTCCCCAGAGAGGTTCCTCCTCCGGGCTGGGAAGCGAGCAGAGGCCTCAGCCAGGCAGCCCGTGGAGCTGCTGCGGTCCAGTGAAGGGGCGGCAGAGGCCTCGGTGCGGGCCGGGGTGCGCGGTGACTCCAGGCGGGGGCTCCAGGACTGTGTGGCCTGGTTGCCCTGGGGTGGCCTTGGAAAGCAGGGGCCATGAGCGGGGGCAGGCTCTGCGGGCTCCCAGTCAGGAGGTCTGCCCAGGCCTCCGCCTGTCCTTTCCCTCTCCTTGGGGTAGTCCCTGCCCTCTAGCTCCGAGGAGAGTGTGAACTTGGAGACCTTAGCCACAGGGGACACAGAGGCTGATGAGCTTTCAGTGGGACTCCAGCGGCCTCGCTCCTGGGCCTCTCTGGCCCCTGTCAGGTCACTGCCACCCCCTGAGAAGCCACTGACCCAGGCCGCAGAGGGCCCTGGCAGAAGGGTGGGGTGGGCCCCTGGCCGGGCCTGAACCATCTGGATCCCACCGATGGGAATCAGGGGGCACGGGGTGCGGGCCAGGTGCTGGGAGTGCAGAGGCAGGTGGCTGAAGACGTTCTCCTCTGTCCGGCCCGGGATGTGGCCGTGGAAGTCAGAAGGGGCGGAGAAGAGTCGGGAGGAGCGAGGGTGAGCAGGGCCAGGAGAGCAGGACGGACTTCGGGGCTCAGCCTTCTGTAGGACGAGAAAGAAGACAGGGGAAGGTGAGGGTCGTGGGCTTATTGAGTACCGAGGCCTAGAGGCTGGGGTGTAGGGTGCTCTGCTGTGGCACTGTCCAGTGGGCCAGCCCTAGTCCTTGATGACCACGGACATATTCTAGCCCCGAGGTCTTCATACCTTCAGCCACAGCCAGTATACCTGGAGGAGGGGTTCTCAGGCAGGAGGCCCTAGTGTTACCCTGCCCTGGGCCTCTGTCTTGGTTCTGCTGTTCCTCCTGATCCTAAAATGGTCTTGACCCATAAGGATCTCGACTTTCTCTCACCACCAGCAACTTTAATATGACCCCAAAATTAAAAATCAAGGAGAGCTTCCTCATCCAGTACTGCTCTAGGAGTGCCAGTGTCAGTCATAACACGGTGACAGAAAAGGTGGTGGCAGGTAAAGTTGACAAGGATAGTGTTGTCAGTGGTGGGGGTGTGGCAGCCGTGGTGACAGCGTGGGATGGTGCAGAGATGGCTTGACAACAAGACGGGGCTGTGTGGGTGATGGGGCGACACCCATCAGGCTGACGGGTGCCAGCGTTTGGTGTACTGGTGACAGAGGCTGTGCTGGCCATGGGAACTGTGCTCACGGTGGGCAGGGATGGTGCTGGCCACGGTGTGTCTGAAGGAGTTGTGACAGTGATGTTGGAGACATAGATTTTGGTTAAGCCCCGCCATTTGCTCAAAGAATACAAGCAGAACAGGGATGGGGCAGGTGGGTGATTGCTTAAGTATTTATGCCCACATCCAAGGTCACACCACCGCTAGGGGCAGAACGTGAATCTAGAAGCCTACCGCTTCTGAGGTACAAAATATGCAATAAACCAGTTGGCCTAAGGTATCCAAGAAATACGTGCTGAGTTCCTTGTAACTACTGAGTTGGTGGAGTTGCTTAGCTTTAGGTGGGATGCTCAGAAAGGGCAACCCCGCAACCTCCCAGGCCCAGGGAGGGGTGTGGCGGGAACTCACCCAAATGGAGGTGCAGGGCTCAGGGCTTCTGCCGAGAAGCTTGTGAGGTAGAGGCGCAGATGGGAAGAGAAACCGAGGAGCTGGCCCCGAGCCTGGGCCATGCTCGCCCGCAGAGGGGCTGCCTGGCCCAGCCAGGGCCCACTTCCCTGGCAGCACTGACCATGGTGGTGACTCGGCTTGACCTAGAGACCATCTCCTGGTGGGTGAGTGCTTGGAGGGGCCTGGGTCCGTGGTGTCCTCAAGTTTGGGTGGCAGATGCCCCCGAGGGGGTAGTTCTCTTCCCAGCGGGTAGGGAATGAGAGGAGCCAGCTCAAGTCTTGGAGACCCACAAGAAGGAGGGCCCATGTCCCTTCCTGGGCCCATCTGGGGGCCAGACGTGCTTGCGACTGAGGTCTGCGGCTCTCGGGCCGGGGGACACCGCTGGAGAGATGAGTCGTTTTTGGTTATTGAGTGTTTGTGGGTGAGTGGTGGGCAGCTTCCTGCTTCTTTGCTTGGTGACCATGGCCTTCTAGGGGACACGGCCGTGGAGCTCAGGGCTGAAACTGTGTCCTTCTCCACAGGGCCCAGTGGGGTCAGTCCCAGCTGGGGAAGGCCCAGGATGTTCTGGCTGGACGTGCAGCAGCTGCTGGCTGTCAAGTGCTCAGCTTCTGAGGCCGTGCTGCCTCCTGCGGCCTCACGGTCAGCAGTGGCATCTTGGGGCTGAGGGCTCTGAACAGGGGAGGGGTCTGTCTGCAGCATGGCCGGCGGGCCGGGCGGGGGTGCCTCTGAGGACGGCTGGGACAGCTCATCCTGGCTGTCCTCCTCATCCTCATCCTCGTCTTCGTCCAGGTCTGAGTCTGAGTCCAAGTCCTCCAGGTCTGAAAACTGGTGCTCCTCCACAGCCTCGGAGCCCTCTCGCCCTTCTGAGTCCTGGAACAGGTCGTCACTGGTTCCTGCGGGGAGGTACAGGAGACCAAAGGTCACATTCAGGCCCTGAGGCCATACTGGCCCCAAGGCTGCTCCTTCCTAAACCCAGTTTCCTTATGTGCTACCCAGGCATGGTTGTCACAGCAATGGTACAAGATTGTGGGGATGGCCAAGTGATGTACGCTTGGGAACACTCTGCAAATAGCGACGGCAACTACCTGCTATCTACAACATGCAAATTCAGTTCTAAGGATTTTAAGTATATTAACTCATGCAGTCCTCAGAGAATCCTGGGAAGCTGGTATTATTTCTATCCTCACATTACAATGAGGAAACCGAGGAAAGAATGATTAAGTAACTTGCCCGAGTAAGGGCACAGTGGGGCTGGGGCTGAGCTAGGGCAAGCCTGCATTTCTTGTGAGCATCTCAGTGCTGAGCTCCCTGGCAGCAGGTTATGCTGCTGCGCTGTGCTCCAGCCTCCCCTTTCAGAGGTGAGAGCTGCATCTCACAGGGTTGGCTAGGAGGAGAAACAGCACAGAGCAAGGGCCTAAATAATTACAGTCACTATGGATCCATTAATGATGCATCTATTATTACGGGGCAGAGCATGGTGGCTGGTACAGCAGACAGAGCTGAGACCATTCTAAACATACATCTGCCACTGTGACCAGGCTGCTGCCGGCTGGCACAACAGCATCTGCCAAGCGGCAGAGTCTGGCCTCTGTGGTTGGCTTCGCTGAGCTGGCCTCAAGCTTCAGGCCTGGGCCCATCCCTACCATGGTTTTGTCCCCGAGGAGCTGCTGCCCTTCTGAAGCTCACGCAGCACCCAGCCAGGGAGAATAGCTCTGAAGTGCCAGTTTCCTGGTCTGGCTTCTTATGGAGCAGCTTCAATCCGCTGGGTCACTTCCGAGAGTCTAGTCTAAGATTTTTCTGAGATGGGCAGTGTTCTGCATGCTGGGGAGAGCTCTGCTAATGTGTGGTCCACCTGGCAGGATCCTGGGAGTTAGGGCCTGCTGGCCTGTGGCTACAGTCTTGTGACCTCATGTTTCTGGCCTGCAGAGCGAGGGCTAGTGACAGCTAGGCTGTCATCAGCCAGCCCCCTTGCTTGCTTATGCCAGAAGTACATCCACTGCTGACCAGAAAGCCTGGCACAGAGCCATCTCAGGACCCCAGGGCATCTAGACTTTGGATCTCCACCATGTCCAGCTGCCCAGGGGCCACAAAGCCCACCATTACTGCTTCTCAGTAACTCAAACACAGCAGTAAGGTGCCCAGCGGGGACCAAAGCGGACATTCGGTAGGATATAGGTGAACAACCATGGGGCGGAGCGGGGGCTGGGAAGGCCAAAGCCAAGCGCAGGCTTTCCAGCAGCTGGGAGCACAGTGACAAGAGACGTAAGGGAGTGGGGCATTGGGAGGGGAGGAGGATGGGGACAGGTGGCAACACTTTGCACTCTGACCCCAGGTATTTACTCCCCTTTTTAAAACATTTGTAGGTGTCTACTGTAGCCCCAGGAGTTTACATAGCCCTACCTCTCATTCACGTAGGCTCAGAGAAGGCAAGGGCGTACCCAAGATCACCCAGCAAACCCTGGCTGAGTCAGAACTGAGGTTCACAACTTTTGCATCAGTACACTGGCAGTTTAGAAATGAGTTTTGCTCGTGAAAATACAGTCAATGGTCTGGTTCTAATCCTAGCTCCATTACTACCTCACTGCGTGACATGGGCTAACTTACTCCCTCTGCGTTTCCTCGTCGATAAAATGGGGACAATAGTAAGGACGTGCACCTCATGAAGCTTTGCGAGGGTTGTAGGTGCCCAGGAAGCCTGAGCTATTATCAGGCCCAGCTGCGCCTCTCCCATCTCACCGGCAGGTCCCAGGTGAAGGTCAGAGGGTTAGGTTACTGGTAGGGAAAGGAGCGCCAGCACGTGATGGACAGCTCTCCCGGCCCTCCACACACAGGTTCCTGCGGGCCTCTAAAGGATGCCCATGCCTGATCAGCCCTTCCGACGCCCTCATGGGCCCACGTAGGTACGGCTGGGAGCAAGACCAATGCTCAGTAAGCCTCATCCGCTGCCAGCTCAGGGGCCTGCGACCTGGCAGAGCAAGGACCACACACCCACAAAAGTGGAGGGCGCCGCTAGGTGCCTTTGCAGAGATGCGCCACATGGTGGCGCTGGCGCTCAATCTCATCTCCGCGGGGCGGGGCTCCCGCAGGAGTCCTCATGGCGCCCCGCTGCTCGCACCAACTCGCGAGGCTCCGCCCCAGGCTGCCTCGTCGCGGGAAGCGGCAACTCCGTCCTTCCAGTGTCTTAGGCTATCGGCGTTATCTAAGCTCATTTCTCATCCCTCTCCTTTCCCTGCTACGTGACAACAAGAACCGTGGGTCCTACCACAGAATGTACCTGGAATCTGATCGCTTCGTTTTTCAGTGTTTTTAGTACATATTTGCAGTTCACAGTGTTTACATTCCAAAGCTCTGTTCTTTACTTCCTATTATCAATCTTTTATTTGGCTCTCTGTTTATAATTTAATTTCTCATATAAGAGAAGTCACGTGATATTTAAGCGCCTGTGCCTGATTTGTTTCACCTGCTGTTATGGTCCCTGCTTGCAGCCTGAGTCTGGTAGTCGCTGCCTCCGCACATTCTGGCACAGCCAAGCTTGCCCCTTGGTACTGTGGGGCTCAGCTCCCTCTGAGCCCAGGTATCAGTGGGCTCCAGCCCTGGGGGCCAGGCCGTGGCCCTCAGGGATGGGCAGCTCTTGGACCCTGGGGAAGAGCACTTCCCAAACCCCACCTGGCCCCGACCCGGGCTTCCTCTGTCTTCTGCCTACTCCACCGTAAGAGTGCCGGCCCCTCCTCCCTGCGGGTCCCAGCTCCTCCCTAGCCCAGTGTTTGCTCCCTAGGGTGGTCTCTGTTCTCTTCCTGTTTGTCCACTGCCTATCTCCCCCTCTGGAAGGCAGGCTTTCCTGCGTCACTGGTGTCTATGCAGCTACCCAGCTTCCAGCCCAGAACAGAGCTGTGCTGTAGGTTTCATCCCCACAAAAGTGGGTGTGGGCAGCCTGCTGAGAAAGGGAGGCTGGAGGGAGGCAGGTAGGAGCCATTGCAGGTGGAAGTCCTAGCCAGCTAAGCCTCTCCGCTCGCCCCTCCTGCCCCCTGGCTAGCTGGCAGTGGGGTGGTACGGACCGGCGTTTTTGTGTGACCGTGGGCCACTCTCTTTACTTGTGAGCTTTTCTTTCCTCAGTTTGAAATGAGGTAACACAAGTTTCCACCACCTGTTATGGGGACCTATGAGACAAGCTCTGTAAGTGCCCTGATGCACATTCTTGACAAGCATGGGAGGAGGGACAACCCCAAGTTCACTGCATTCTGTCTTGATCTGATTTCAGGGCATCTGTGCTTAAAGGTTTGTCCCTGCAGGAGAGACTGACTATCCATGTCCATCTCTGTGCCCCTGCCAAAGCCCCTGTGGCCTCCTGCTTGGGTGCTGCCAGCCAGACCCACTACCTTTGCCTCCTCCCCTGTCTGCCCCGAGACCCGCTCTAATATGCCTCTTAATGCTGGAGGACCAGGGATGGGGTGTGGAAGTGGATGGTTGGGAGGCCACAGGCCATTGGATCTGGCTTTGGCTTTCTGGAAACCCTCCTGGTGCCAGGGGGCCCATGCGTTAGGCCCACAGGAGAGCAGGCATGAGTGTGGGCATGGAGAGGTTAGTAAGTACCCTCAGAGTCAAGGGAGGGTCTGCTGGTAGTCAGGACATGGACTGAGAACGTGCCTGACATGTTCTGGGTGTTCGGTGTTACCTGTAATTACTCATATGCTCGTTTATTCAGTAAACATTCGCTGAGCACCCACAGGTGCCAGCGCTCCACCTGAACAGGCAGCGCTGTCCCCTGCAGAGCTGTCCTACAGACAGTGGCGGGGAGTGGGACGGTCGTTCGTGACTTCAAACTTCATCTCCAGTGGTTGGAGAAACTGGGGGGGAGGGGAGGGGAGGGCACGGGAAGGAGGGAGGGGAGCAGGGCCAGGAGCAGCAGACAGGAGGGCAGAAGAAAGGGGGACAGTTAGGGGAACGGGGGAAGAGGGGCGAAGGAGGAGGCTGACAATTCCTTACCTTCCTCGGCTTCCAGCTCCTCCAGCACCCCTGTCTCTTGGCACTTTTTGCTGTGGGCTTTCGACTTCATGTGCTTAGTCAGATTCCCTAGAAGGGAACGAGAACAGACTCAGGCTCTGCTGTTGGGCAGGGGGCCAGGAAGGGCTCTCAGAGGCAGCACCTGGCTAGTAGTCCTCTAGAACCCATGGCCTCTCAGAGCCGCTGCGGCCCTGCCAGATGCAGGGGCTGGGCAGGCACCAGGGCACCCCTCTGCCCCAGCACTTAGGCCAAGGCGTGCAGCGGAGCTAGGGTAGGGAGGCGTGGGGCTGTGAGGGGCAAGGAGTACAATGAAGAAGTGAGATGCTGGTTAAAAACAAACAAAAGAGAAATTAAAACACTACTTAAGTACAGTTGGCTCTTCCTGTTTGTGATCTAAGTCAGGCCCCAAGATGGTAACATGCCTCAGACAGGGTTATTGGCTACCTCAAAGGTGGGATGACACGGGGGCTCCCCCTGACTGACATGGCAGTGGGGACTGAGCGTACCCCTCTGGCTGAAGGCACCTCCAGGAAGCCCACAGGGCAGAGCCTTAGGGTCTGGGAAGAAGAACCAGGGCAAAGCTACTCTTGGGCCTGGATAAAGGACAGAAGGTGAAAGGAGGGAAGTCAACTGGCCAGGGCCCCAGGAGCTGCAAGACTGAAGTCCAAACCTAGTTTCTTCAGAGAAATCCTCTCTTGGCCTCAGTTTCCCCAGGCTAACAGGAAGTGCAGACACAAGACCACGTAGTTTGGGGAAGGCTGGGGCAAGGCTCTACCCTGTCTTATGCCTATAAAGCCCTCGGGGGAGGCCGAGTGTACCAGGTTAGGCCAACCCATGGGTTGGGAAGCAGGGGCTATAGTTCTTTGGGATTAAGGCCGTGGGAACAACTGCTTTAGTTTCCCTACATACATAGTATTTCACAAGCCACAGAGCTCTGTGGACAGCAGTGCTGCAAAAACAGAGGCCGAGAGCCCCCAGCCCGCCCTGGGAAAACAGAGGCCAGACGCCTTAGGAGGTTCCTCTGGGCTCACACTCTCAAACTGTGTTTTGAGAGTTGTTATGTTTCCATATGGTTGATCATACAGGAAATCATAAGTTCCCTGAGGTGCTCTGTCTCACAAGTGTCACTGATGAGTATGTTTGCATGAATGCAAAGAGGTAAGGCTCTGGAGTAGAAGGAGAAATGGTGGACAGATGCACGGACAAGTGAAGAGAGAAAATACGGAGGGAAAGAATGGGAAGAGAACAGACTGGCAGATGGGATGCTGGATGAGTGGATAAGCAGATGAATATGAGTAAATGAAGAAAATAAATGGAAGGATGGATAGAAAAATGGGTCAGTAAGGAGATCGGCAGATAGTGAGTTGCATGAATGTAGGCATGCCCAGCTTTATGGATGGGCACCTACACACATGACTACATGGGAGACCAGAGGGGAGGATAAAAACGGGAAGCTGGGTGAAGGACGATGAAAGGGAGGACAAATGCTCCTGGTGCATGACTCTGTCTTTCCCAGCTTGGGTTCTCCTCCCATAACTAGATAAAAACCTGGCTGTCCTCACCCTGGCCATACAGGGAGCAAATGCAGAGTCATCTCGTGGCCACATGGCTCCCAAAGGTCCCTATCCAGGTTGTAGACCTGCACCTTCACTGCTGTGAGCAGGCAGAGCCTGAGTAGGACGGCCAGGTGACGGGAAGCAGCGGCGAGGGTCTTCCATGGACCAGAGACACCAACTGTCCTGAGGTTCGGCCGCCCACCCTCCTCCCCTGCCCACCCGAGGCCACGAGACCAAGGACACTGCTCGTTCTGGGGATCACATCCTTTGTCACTTATGCTTTCCCTGCTAGGTGCGGGTTGTTAGCCACTATGCACACTGTGAGTGCAAAGCAGCCCTGCGGTGCAGGCCACACAGAAGCAGGGTGCTGGGAGGCGCCTCGCAGACCATGTAACTCAGTTCCCACCAGGCAGAGACTCATCCTACTGCTGTTGATCTAACTGCGGGCCCAAGTGTTGACAAGACCAGTAGACAAGATCACTGGCTGTCCTAGGTACTGGCTGGGCTCCTGGTAACCCATACAGCGAGTCAAGTGGCCCAGTCATAGTGCTAGCTGTGCAGAGCCCCATCCAGAGCCCCATCCAGAGCCTGGTCTCAGGACTCTGGGGCCTTGTTGGCTCCGCACAGTGGGAGTGGAACCAGAAGGCTTTGGGAGCTTGGTAGGCTTGGACTCTGCACTGCTAGCTGTGCTATCTCCTGGGGATGCGGGGAGAATTAAAGCCATGGTGCGTGGGGCAGCAGCACGTGTCAGAGCAGATCTCTAGCCCTGCCTGTGACAATCGGTGTATTGAGCACCTGGGGACTCTGCCACACACCGTGCTGGGTGTGCAGGAGAGACATGCGCCTGATGACATGTTTTCATCTTTTGGTCTGGGGCTCAGGGGCTCTCAGAAGAAGGCCAGGGATCCCCAGCCCCAAGGGCTTGCCTCTCCTCTGCCACCAGGCCCAGGGGTTGCAGGGAGGAGGCATGAGTCTGAGGGGATTTTGCAGGTCACAGGAGCAGACGCTGGATGAGCAGGCCTGAGTGTCCTGCCACCTCCCTCTGTGACTGCCCCTGTCTGGGCCTGGCTGTGAACCGGGAGAGGTTTCACACTGTCGCAGGCACACCCCGGGTGTTATTTCTCTGTCAAGGGGCAGGCCTTCATCTTGGAGGACTGTCAGGAAGCAGAGTCCACAGCTTCTCACAGTCAACCCAGCCCACCTGAAGCCCGGTAGCCCAGAAGCGGAGAGAAGGCCAGTGGATGGAAAGTGGGAGGTGTCTGACAGAGGGATGAGGTGCCGCTAGGATCAACAGCCAGTGACCGTTTGCCTCCTGCAGCTTTGACCCACTTCCTGGCCTACCAGTGGGCCTGATGGACACGAGGCCGGCCCATAGCTGCCATCTCTGTCCCCTGAAGCAACCGGCGCAAGGGTTTATATATGGCACAGCCACCCCGCAGACCTCTGGGAATCATCTGAGAAGAGGAAGCGAGACCCTGACCTCCACAGGGTCAGCCCCAGGCCTCGCCTGCCACCCCACCGAGACACTCCTCAGGTGGCACCCAGAGGCCTGAGCTGCCACCTTGACGCCTGACACAGAGACGAGACACAGACAGGCAGACAGAGACAGACAGGAAGGGCACAGCCCAGCAGTGGTGGCAGGGGCACCAAGGACCGCCCGGCCCAACTCATCCCTTGTGCTGCCTGGTGCAGGCCGGAACTCAGAGGTGACGGGGAAGAGAGGTGAGGTGGCCAGACAGCCCTGGAGAGAGGGTGGCCTGTGTTGTCAGAAAGGTGGCACCTCGGAGACAAGGCCCCAGGGACAGTCAAGAGCCCTGCGCTCTCCCCCTCTCTTCCCCAGGAGGCACTGCTTTCTGCATCCGCTTGCCACCCTCACATGCCCGGGGCACCTCCTCTGTGCCACACACAGAATTGCGATTCCACCAGCTCAGTTTCACTGTAGCTTTGGCCAGGAAGGCAAAGAGGAGGAAGAGCTCCGCATACTCCTAACCACTGGCAGGGAGCAGAGGTACCATATACCACCTTCTCTCAGGCACTGCTTCACATCCCTGCACATACCAAGGGTCTGCGGGCCCTCTGCAAGATCTGCACTCTGCACTCTCCCAGGCTCTGGGCTAGCTCAGGGAGACCCAGAAGGGACGACAGCCAGGCTGGGTGTGCTTCTGATGCAGGTATCTGCTGGGAACTGGGGGTCCAAAAAGGGCCCCAGACATCTTTCAGATTTGCAGAATTTGCAGGGTACAGGTATTGAGACCCATGGGGCCTCAATGGGAATGGGTTTCTCCTATTTGGTGGCAGAGGTGGCAGCTCCCTGGGGACAGTGTGTTGGGTGCAGGCTGCTGTGAATGCCCCTGTGTTCGCAGCTTCTCTCACAAGCTTCTCTCGGTGCCCCTCACCCTGAGGATAGGACAGTGTCCCCTGCACACGCTGGGAATAGGGGCAGCCCCTATGACCCCCTCCAGGGGCACCTGATCACAGCTCTCGCCACCTTCTCCAGAGGAGGGAGGGTCTGCTCACAGTGAGGAGGATGAGGTTGTGGTCCCCTGAGGGCAGGAGTGCTAGGAGGCACAGTCACTGCTGGTTTCTAAGACACATTTTATTAGCCTTCAAGGGAGTCTGGACAAGAAGTTTCCACTTTGGAGTTACTGTTACTGAAATTATCAGCCAGTTATTACCATCTCTCTCACAGAACCCATACTGGCAGCCTAAGGCCAGAGGAAGCGGGGCTGGAGGAGACACGTGGGGGACACAGCCAATGCTGCGGAGCCGAGCTGCCCTGGGCACAGTGGGTCACCAGGGATGGATGCCTTCGATGCACCATGTAGCAGTGTGGGGGCTTCAGGCCTCTTTGTCCAATCTGGGCACCTTTGGGACATTGTCTGAGACCCTTACAGAATAGAGAATCCAGGAAAGGGAATAGGAGGGGGGCATCTCCATCCAACTTGAAACCTTGGTGGAAAAGTTGGAGCTTGGTTCAAAGATGATGGAGAGAAGGCTGAGGAGGGCAGGAGTCAGCTAACATGGTCAGGAGACCAGAAACAGGAACATGGCCAGAGAGGAGGCCACTGAACCGGGGGATGCGATAACCATTCCCTGACCCACACCAGAAAAAACAGAAGGTCCAAGGCAAGAGGATTCAGCAAGGAAGGGGGCTGAAGCGTCTCTCTGTGGCAGATGCTCAGCCTCTTTCGCTGGCAGGAGCTTTACCAACAGAAGAAATGACAAGCGCTAAGCCAAAGTCTCCCCTCAAGTTCTGTCCCCAAAGAAATCATGTGGCTCCTTAGGGCCATCATGGAGGCCCTCAACTTGCTCCAAAACGGTAGGATCCTGGTGTCAAACCCTGACCCAGGAATCCTCAAAGTACAAGCGGCTGATACTGCCAGAGGTGCGGAGAGTCTTTGCCTTCTTCCAAGGCACCCTACTCTGCTCAGCTCCCACACATGGTAAGCAACCTGGGGGTGCCCCTGCTGGGGAACAGCTTCATCCGTGGAGCCCGTGGGCTTGGCTCAGTCGACCAGCCCCACCCTGCTAGGGGCGGCAGCAGGCCACCCCACTGCCTGTCACAGCCTTCCGGGACACATGCCATCAATAGGCAGTCCTTTCTCTCACAGGTGAACGCCAGCGCCTGCCGTGACCCGGATGTGGGGCGTGGCCAGGGGTGGGAGTGACCCGCAGCTGTTGCAGGGCCTCGGTGGAGTGGCGGAGACGGTGGAGGAGGAGCGAGCTCTGGCAGAACAGGGGCATGCGAGTGTGTGGAGTGGCTCAGCGTGGAATGGATTTCCAAATGCGAGAGTGGCAGTGACCATTGTGGATGCCTGGAGATTGTCAGATCAGTGGATAAAGGGCTAAGCAGACATGCGAAAGGAAGGCTGATGAGATAGATGGAATCAGGAACCGTGGTCAAGATGCGGCCTCGCAGGGGTGGGAGGGGCAGGTGCGGGAGGGGGCGGGGCTGTGTGCAGGCTCCAGGAGCACCAGCTGGGGCAGCCACGGGTGACTCCACCCAGCCCGGAACTGGCTGCTCTGCCACGGCACCAAGTGGGGTGGGATCCCAGGAAGTGGCGTGCTCCGGGCCCAGACAGAGAGGTCTGTGCTGGGCTCCCAGAGGGACGCTCCCTGCAGTGGACAGGGCGGTGCTGTGCCCCAGCTGACTGTCTCTTACCTTTGGTTTTAAAAGCAAAGTGACAGTGCTTGCACACATAGGGCCGGACGTCAGTGTGGGTGCGGATGTGTTTCTTCAGCATGCTGGGCTTCTTGCAGCGAATTCCACACTCCTCACAAACATATTTCCCTCGGCCGCGGCCTCGCACATACACATACTCTTCGTTTGATTTGTACCTATGAGCAACAGGCGTCATGTGAAGGAAAAAAAAAAAAAGGAGGAGAAGAGGTAGGTTCCCACCTCAGAAGATGCACGTGCTTCCTAGCTGCTCCAAGCCAGGGTGGACGCGGAACCAGAGCACCCTGGGGTGGACAGGGAGCCAGTTGCCCTGGGGATCCACTGTGGACCCCTGCACTCCGCCTCTCACACGGAAGGTGAGTCTGCACCTTCCTTTCTCCCTCCAGCCCCAGGCACTGGTGCTCCCTGTGAGGGAACGCGAGGCCGCCTTTCCTCAACCAGCCTCAGGAACAGCTCTGCCACAAGGAACAGCCGCTGTCGGCCTCCAGAGTCACAGACAACTTAGAAAAACCATATAAAATAACCACAGCGGCAGCTCTTGCAGCTGCCAGTCACCAAGCACTCGCTCTGTGCTGGGCACATCACTTGATAAATCACAGTCGCCTCTCAAGGAAGATCCTGAGGCCCCAAGGCTCAGAGAGGGGAGACATTCGCCTAAAATTGCACAGCCAGAAAGATACAGAACCTGATCTGAACCTGCCGCCTCCAGCCCATCCAGCTCTCAAGGGGCCAGTGGCAGTCAGCCAGGAAGCTACCCGACCCCACTGCGAGGAGGGTGCTGGGGACCACAGTTGTCTCCCTGGCCGCCAGTCTGGAGTCCAGGCTCTCTCACCCCGTCTCAGTCTGCAGAAGCTCTGCAGGACCCAGGTTCCCAGTGAGATCAGGACACCCACCAGCTCTTAGGAGCCTCCTGGGTGGCTCAGGCCACTGATGGATGCCAGGCCCCCAAATCAGAACACTCTTATTCCTACAGAGAAGGAGGCCCTGAGCCCTTCAGCGCACCTGGAAGGTCAGCCGCTGCCGCCTTGCTGGTCTGTGCTATGGAGTCCACAGCAGTGGGTGAGCCTGGTGGGCCTTGGGGGAAGGGAGCACAGCAGACACTGTGAGAAAGCTTTCTGATCCTCAGGTGCTGGGGCTGAGGGTGCTCTGGAGAGGGAGCAGGCCTTTCCATGGCCACCTGCCTGGCAGGAGCTGCCCGCTGCCTAATGTCCTGGAGAGGGGCAGGCAGAGGCCTGGAGGAGGGGACAGCTGCGAGGACTCCATTCTGCTCATGGGGCCTCCCTGTCAGGGCTGTAGGTGGTCACAAGGACAGGCTTGAAAGAGGGGCTGGGGGACACTGGCAGCACCAGATCACCCCACATCCCTGCTCTCGCTCGCTCCACAGTCACACAGCCCTCACGCTCGCGGACACAGATACTCTAGTGCCATCACACCCTCACACCCCACAGCCCCAGACTGGGCCCTGAGGCACACGCAACACCACACCCCATGCCCCACTCTGCCTTCTCTCACCTGCGTCACTCCCCACCACGCCCACATACTCACACCCCTGCTGACACCAACGCACTCTCCTACAGCCGTCCCCACACTCCAGCCCACATGAGCTCATACACACTCATATGTGAATCGCTGTCCACTAGCACGCATAGACCCCGCTTTTTGGGCACCTCAGCACTGGCCACCTGATACCTCAAAGAGGCAAAACGGCCCTTTCCACTCCTCCACGTACGCGGACCGCCCATTAAGCAGCTGCCTACACCTAATTTTAACTCCCATGGCCCTCTGTGTCCTGGTACCCAGTATTCAGGAGATGCAGATACGGTTCCTTTTCCCAGCTAGGAGAAGACAGCACGAGCTTGGCTTGGCCTGGAGGCTCTACATGGCACCAATCTCTACTTGGCCCTGCATAGTGGGTCCATGACACTTGCCTCTCCAACATCCAGGCACAAGGGTATCCTTCAGCCTCAGCTTCCTCTTCCCCCGCTGCTCCCCCAGCTCCTCAGCCACTCTGACCTCTGTGGTACTTGGGCTTCACTCTCTTTCTAAGGCCAACAAAGCAGTAACACCAGTGTCGGCCACCTTGGCTGCTCCTGGGCCCCTTCATATCTTCCTCCACATCGAGCTTAAAGGAGACACCATCTTGGACAGAGAGGAGAGGGCTCAAACAGAGTGCCTGCAGTGCCTTGATGGGGGTACCAATGCAGAACGGCGCACAGCACCTTGTCACATACCCCAGAAAATGTGCAGTCTGTTGGGGAGCACCAGGGGACTGACAGCGGTTAGGAAAGGTGGAGAGAGGGAGAAAGGAGGACTCCTATTAGGGGCCTTAGGAGCAACGGCAGAGGTGTTAAGAGGCCTGGAGTGTGGTAGGTGAGAGGAGATGAGGCCAGACAGGCCAGGCAGGCTGGGTCACCATCAGCCTTGAATGCCACAGTAAGAGCGTAGACCTGCTCAGTGTCATCTAACAAAGTCTCAAAGAGATGACACCTTCCTGGTGCCATGGGAACGGTCTGGAGGAGTCTAAGCATGTGCTCTAAGGAAGCAACTCAAGAGGCCTTTTGGACATGGACTCTGCAGGCCTTGGTGGCCATCTAGATGCAGGGCTCCTAATGAGGCAGAGACAAAGACCCAAAGTTTTCAACTTGGCTTGCTCAAGTGGAACCATTCACAGGATGGGAGAGTAGTGATGGGGACCCTCGTTTTTAACTGCTGAGTGTGAGGGTCTGACGAAGTGGACATGAAGAGCTGCCCAGCGCCTGCCTGGAAATCAGAGATATGGGAGAGTTTGTGTAGGTTTATGAGGAGGAAGGCAACCATACAAGACAATGAGAAGCTGGAGGAGAAGGGCACCAAGGGCAGAGCCCTGGGAAGCTCTGAGAGTATGGCAGGGCAGAAAAAATAGTGCCCCAAACTGGCCTCAGACACAGAAAGTCAGAGCAGTGGGCAACCAGGACAGAAGGGCCAAAGCATTTGCAGACGCATCCCCAGGGTCTAGCATGGTGCTAGCTGTCCCACAAATGCTCAGTAACTCCTCATTAAATATTCCATGTGGCCACGGACTGAAACCTTTGAAACTGTGAGCCCAAAATAAACCCTTCTTCCGTCATCTCAGGGCATTTAGTCATTGTAACAGAAAGCTGACCAACGTACCATAGACACCAAGGCCAAAAAGGTCCAGATGAAACAGCAGTTTCACCCAACAGCAATCATTCTATTTAGTACCCTGTCCTTGTGCAGGTGGCTGCACAAACACTTTCTGACAGTGCTGACCAAGACTTTCCCCCTCTGATATTCCTAGACAAGCAAGAATGGCATTCGTCTCCACGCAGCCATTCCTGCAAGACCAGTTAAGGCTAGCTGGAAGACCCAGGTGTTGACAGTGGTAGAGAAATGCTCTAGAAAAGTCTACGGCCATACCACCCTGAACGCGCCCGATCTCGTCAGAAATGCTCTAGAAAAGCCCAGGGCAGAAAAACAAACATGCACGAGGGGCCTCAGGGGACACAGCCTGCCTCCCAGGCTTGTTGGCTGCTCCCTGATGCTCCACCTAAGGCTTCCTCTTGGAGGCTTGAGTTGCAGGCTGGCTGCCCTTTTCTCCCAGGAGACAAGTCGCTGACCCGGGCCACCTCCACAGCTCTAAAACAGTTCACCATTGACAGGCCTGGTGTGGCTGTGTTGTGGCTCCCAGGACAAGGAGCAGCCTCCCCTCCTTGCCTGTCTTCTGTGGCCCTGACATCCAGCAATATTTGCATCTGGCTTTGTTCTTGAAGAACTGATTCTGGGCTTTTGAACGTCTTTGCTGGAGGGGCTTGGGGGGACCTTGAGGTGGGAGGTTCAGAGCTAGGAACTACCCAGGGCCATGTAGCAGGGGCTCCCATTGCACGGCTGGAGCTCGGGCCTCCTGCCCCATGACTGCAGCCCCGGGAGCCCCAGCACCCCACTTGGAAGCAGCTTTCTGCCCTGCTGCCTGGGATCAGAAGAGCATGGGATGGCTGGGAGGGGTGCAGAGCTGCCAGGTCTTCCTGGATGGTTCTGTGTCTACCCTCCTGAGGCAGCTCCAAGACTCACAGACTCAAACGAAAGAAAAACTTCTCTAACAACCTTGTGAAAGGACGTTCTATCATCTGCGTGTAATCAGATGGAGAGAGAGGCAGGGGTTGAGTGCCTCGCCTAGAGCTGCCAGGCAGTGAGGAAGTGTGAAGCCGGCAAGAGCATGGCTCCAACGTGTGGCTGAGTCGGAGGTCATCTCCCGCGCGAGGCTGGTGACACTGAGCTGTCTGCCTGAACGATAAGCACACGACACCCCAGCTTGTGACTCTAGTCTCTCCGGAGGCATTTCTAAGAGCCACAGCATCCAGGGAGTGGATAGAAGCTTGGCGCAGAGCCCCGAAAGGAGACAGCCTGTCCTTCTGCGCCATCTTCCAGGACAGGGCCTATGGTGGGAATGAAAGAGCATTTCAGGGAAAGTGATGGGTGAGGCTGCTGCTGCGGGGCTCTGCAGAGGACAAAGACTCAGCAACAGAGCTGCTCTGTGAGGTGGTGTAGCTCATGTTCCGTGTTATGTCTAAGACCAGATGGAGGCTCAGGGCACCAGAGAGGGCTGGGCCGGCAACGTGACTGGGCCAAGCAGAGGGCTACGAGGGGAAGGGCTGTACTGAGCTAGAAGGCAGGCTGTTCCCGCTCTGGGAACATGCTGCGGGTTCGGGGCTCACTCCTGGTGTACTCCAGGTATAGCATGAGGTTGTCACATCTTGCATGTTTTTCAAGAAAACTGCAAGTCCAGATTTAAAAAAACCCTAAATGCAAGTACTGTATTAGCAAATTCTCTTATAGCGCTTATTGGGTGTCAAGCACTATTTTTGATGCTTGTATACATTACTGCATCTAAGTCATATGACAGCCCTAGGAGACAGGGGCTCTACTCATTCCATTTACACAGGAGAAGAGTCACAGAGAGGTTAAATAACCTTCCCAAAGTCACACAGCTGTTTAGTTAATGGTACCGGACACCAAACCCAGGTTACCCTGCTATAAAGTTCAAATGCTTAATTGCTGTACAATTCTATTTTAAAAAAACAGTTTAAAATACAAAGAGAGGTAGAGCCTTTCTGAAGCTAGGCTTCCGGCTCAAAGTAATTTCCCCAAGGTCATACAGCTA